GTTGTTGAACCCGCAGGGCGTATTGTAGGGCCGCATGATCTGTACGGACGGTGAACCGCCGACCGTACAGATACGGGCGGTACTGCTGAATGAAATAAACAATCGCCAATAATTCCCGACGGGTAACGCAGTACCGCTGTTCGGCTGGAGACAGTACCCGACTACCGTAAGCCACCACATGCTCTACGCCCCCAATGAGCTGGGACAGCACGCCCCCGATGCCCGTGTTACTTGCATCTGTATCGAGCAAGAAGGGTTGTGAAAAATCCGGGTAATTCAACGGCGGCGCCCCCACCAAAGCATTCCGGAGGGCGCGAAAAGAAGCCTCCTCCTCCGGCCCCCAATGAAACCTGACTCCCTTGGACGTCAAGGCATGCAAAGGTTTCGCAATCGTAGCGAAGTCAGCCACAAATCGCCGATAATACGACGCGAACCCAATGAAACTCCTGACCTCTCCCACAGAGGTGGGAGTCGGCCAGGAGCTGACGCATTCCGTTTTGGCGGGATCAGTGGATATCCCCGAGCGCCCAACAATGTGACCCAAATATCGCACCGATTCGCGGAGTAAATGGCACTTCTGTGGTTTAAATTTCAAATTGGCAGCCCGCATTTTGAGAAAAACAGCACGCAACCTCTGGAGGTGTTCCTCGAAGGATTTGCTAAAGACGATGACATCGTCTAAGTAAATCAAACACGAATCCCATTGCAACCCTGCCAAGACCAATTCCATTAACCGCTGAAAAGTTGCCGGCGCAGAATGTAAACCCATCGGCAAGCAGTTAAATTGGAAGAGACCCTGCGGTGTCCGAAAAGCAGTCTTAGGTTTTGATTCGTCATCCAGAGGAAGCTGCCAGAATCCAGATAGCAAATCGAGGGTGGAAAAGAATCGCGCCCCCGCCAAGGCATCGAGCGACTCATCCATTCGAGGAAGCGGGTACGCATCTGCCACAGAGATTTTGTTCAGACGCCGAAAGTCGACACAAAACCGCAGTGAGCCGTCGTGTTTTTTCACCAAAACGATCGGCGCGCCCCACGGGCTATTGGAAGGGGAAATGATATCGGCGGCTAGCATGTCATCAACAGCCGATTTGACATGATCCTTTTCGGCGGGACTCAACCGAAAGGGATTTTGGCAGATTGGCGCGCTGTCACCCGTGTCAATATGGTGTCGCAGCAATTTAGTACAACCAATATCAAATTTGTGTTGACTAAAAACGTCAGCAAATTCGCTCAGAAGAACTCGCAGCTGCGCGCGCTGCGAGTCGGACAGGTCCACTGAACCCGCGCAAAGCGCATCCAGCCAACCGTCATCACAGTCCGAATGCGGTCGCGACGGAGGATCGGTGGATACCTGACCCACGAGTGGTTCCTCATAGGGTACCGGCGTTGCGTGTGCAAGCACGGTCCCTTGAGGAACCACGACCGTTCGCGATCCCACATTAAGGACTGCAATGAAGGGGTCCCCATCCCCTCTCACCATGGTCTGAGCCGCGAGCAAATCTGGTCCATTTACCCCGGCCCGAGATGGTCCCAACAAGACCCCCCGATCCGCAACCCCTTCATTAAACGGCCGACGCAATCTAAGAGGGACGAGCATCTGAGCCCCCGGAGGCACGCGCACAGTTTTTGTGACGAGCGCCTGCACGGTGGCAAACGCCCGACGCTCCGTGGTGGGGGAAGACAGAAATGTAACGCGTCGGCCCGATGGGAGCTCAATGCACCCTTGGTCAATAAGGATGCGGATGGGCATTTTGGCCAGAAAATCCGTCCCCAACAGGCACGGAACCGCGAGTGAGGAGGAAACCAAAACAGGCCCGGATAATTTAATGTCCCCAATGCAGATAGTGGCGCGGATTTGGCCAATAATGCCCAGAGAGCCCCCGTTAGCGGCATAGCACGGCACGTCAACAGGGAGCAAGGGACGACTTTGAACGGGAAGGATGTTATAAATTAAATCAGATATAATGGTCGCCGATGCCCCTGTGTCAATTAAAATCCGCACCTCTACCCCATCAATGTGACCGACCACGACCGATGATCCCGCCGACGCAGCAACGACACGATGGGCGAGCTCCGACCACTGACCCGGTTGGAGCGCCCGCCGCATTACCGAACAATCGCGCGCGACGGATGGGGAATTTGGAGCCCTGTTTAGTTGGGCGCGTGAGTGTGTGTCGGATGTGTGCGTGGGCCAAACGTGTGAGGTGCCGCGACTCGCCGTATTTCTCTGCTGGAGCTTGGGAGGAGACGGCGTGGCGTCCTGACGAGGTGTCGCCCCGCGCTGACGGGGAGCCCGGCATCCTGACGCAACGTGGCCTTGCAGGCCACAGTTGTAGCAGCGTGTGAGCGCCCCCGATGTCCTGGGCTGCTCCTGGTGGCTCGGTCCATTCCGAGCCTGTGGTACTGCCGCTCTCCATTCCCCTCGCCGCTCCACCCCGCAGACCTCCTCCGATGGGAGGGCGGTAGCCGCCATGGCATGGCTGGCCGCCCCCTTTGCCGCCTTTCGACGAAGGGACCGCAAGCCCCCGTGGATGTGGCGCGCGACCAGCAGGGACGACATCTCTGAGTCGTCTTGAGCCAGGACGTTGACGTCCAGCTCATCAGCGAGTAGCAGCAGCTTCTCAGCCACCATGGCATCCACTCCTTCCTCGTCCATCCTTGGGAAAGCAGCCTTCGCTAGAGCCAGGAGAGCAGTCCGGAAGGCCAGAGGTGATTCGTTGGTGCCCCGACGCCGATCGTGGAAAAACTGCCTGCAGTCCGAAGGCGGCCCATAGACGGCTGACAGCAGCTGCAACGCCAGGTGTAGGGTGGCGCGCTTTTCCCTCGGCGCCGAGGTGAGGGTAGCCAGGGCGTCGTTGTCCAGCATCGCTGGCAGCGCGCGTAGAGCCTCGGCGTCCGTCCAGTTCGCCATCTCCTGATGAGCGATGAACCGTCTCTTGAAGCCGCCCCAGTCTCCGTCTGCGCCTACGAATTCTTTCAGAGGTGGCAGACGCTGCTGCAAGGCGACGTCCGTGGCTGTAGATCGCTCTCCGTCGCTCCCCGCCGATGATACAGTGTGGGCGGGCTGTGCACATGGCATCGCCGGTCGCTCCGATGTTGACGCGCCGGCCGGTGTTGATGATGTCACGGCTTGTGCTTGGCGCTCAGCAGTCACGTGACGCGGGCCGGCCCCGCCGTCCGCTCGCACTGTAGAGATGGCGGGAAATTTAACCGCCAGCCGCGTCGGGGTGGCGGGAAACGTTGCCGCGCGCCGGCTGCTGTCGTCGACCCGCGCTGCCCCTCCAGCCCCCAGCCGCGTGATCTCCTCCAACGCAGCGGCGGCGGCGTAGAGCAGTTCCGCCAGGCGGGAGTGGGCCAGCCGGAGTCCTTCAGCCGACGCATCCCCCCCCTCTTGTCGTAGCGGCACGGGCGTACTTGGCCCCGGCTGCTCCGATCCGACCCCGGCCATCTCTGGTGTTGAATCGGCCGCGGCGTCTTCCATCTCCGACTCCTTGGTACGTGTCGTCCCTCGTGTGTCCATCGTTTGGACGTTTTACTTCTGACACCAGATGTAGTAAGTATATGGGTCCCGACTCCCGAGCCTTTCGGCTCATCACCTTTTATAGGACTTGCCCCCAAGGGGGGGGCCCGTGGGGGATACACATGCGGACGTCGGTGCGAGCGCCACCCTTGTGTACGGCCGTAACCCCGCCCCTTGTGTTTGTTGGCCATCCGTGGCCATGCATAATCACACCTCAACATTCGTAGACATGCGCAATTACACCTCTACACATGTACTGTACAAATATGTAGTGACATCTAGTATGTCACTATATATATGAACATTTAGAACCATTACTATCAGTAAATCTACCTAAGGGGGGGGGGAGGTTAGTGAGTAAATAATTAACAAAATACTGTACAGGTAGACATCGCTTAGAGCTCAAGATTCTTTCCTAGAGAAGTGAGCTGCACGATTAGTTATGCGACTGGACGTGGATATTGTTAAACGTCCTGCAGCAATACGTAAATAAACATACAAATGTGATGCGAGCGTAAATGGGAAGGCCGGATGTGACATCCGAGAGTGAGGAGTCAGGGTCACGTGGGAGAGAGGTTATAGGAGGGAGCCCGGAAGAGATCAGGGGGAGTCGATGGAGTGAAGAGGCGAGACCACGTTGGGTGGCCGCCGTGCCATCAGCCACGGGCTGATAGGGCTTGGCAGACCGCCAGCTAGCGGTGTGCGGAGAGAGAGCAGAGTGTGCGGGGCGCACAGAGCCGTGCGGAGTGCACGGGGCTAGCAGAGTGGCTAGCGGAGCCGTGCGGGGTGCACGGGGCTAGGAGAGTGGCTGGCGGAGCGTGCGGAGTGCACGGGCAGCAGAGTGGCTGCAGAGTGTGCGGGGCACATAGAGCAGCAGAGTGGCTGCAGAGTGTGCGGGGGCACACGGATCAGCGGGGTGGCTGCAGAGGGAGTGCGCGGGGCGCGTGAGAGACGACGCTGGTCCGAGGAGGGGGCCAGCGGGGTGCGGAGGAGAAGAACATAAATAAAGGACCAACGGAGACCTACATCGTGTGTGAAGGAGTCCTTTATTAAACAAATATACAAAAATAAATATCCTCCTGTAAAAGGTTACTGTCTTTTTTACTGTACCCTACTTACCACTCCAATCTCGAAGACTGCATGGGGTGATGAATATACGTGCAGTATTTTCAATGTTTAAGTTGTATGTAGTGTATAATGTACTGTCTACACTATTTTTGACCGCTGGATAATGTTGTGAGCTGGATAATCGGGCACCGGATAATCGATGATCAACTGTAATGCTGTCTAGTTTTATTTTAGTGGATTCATTTTGCAGCAGTGCTAAAATATGAAACTGTCCCATTGAATGCCAGTTATTTGTGATGAAAATCTAAATTTTAAAAGCAATCCCACGGGGATTATGGCTCAGTGCTGTTGACAGGCCCACGAAGAAATTTCCCCTATCGGTCAACTGACCTGTGGTTTGTGTTTGCCACAGGGGAGGCAGTGTGGTCTGTGCGACAGAAGAAGGCAGATCTAAAGATATGGATCGGTGAGAAGCCCCAGCATCTTCTCGTGCAGCTGATGAGCCGAGGACGAATCTCCAACGACCTCTTCAGTGAAGCCAGAAAGATTAAGAATGGCAGGGAGTGCGCCGAGCGAATTATCGACTACTTCATCAACAAAGGCAACGATGACTGCCTCAAGCTGCTATTTGCTCTGCACGCCGTGCAGGACCGCTATCCCAAAGTCAAGCTGTGGCTGAGCTCCCTCGGTAAGAAGCATTTAACGTGGTTCTCGTAGCAAGGTGTCCCTGACGCCACGGTGGCTAGCAGATATTAACTACCCCGCCAGGTGAACAGGAGGTCGTAAGTTCGATCCGGACCCTGACGCCTGCTGCTGTATATTTTGGCGTTTGCGTCTCTCTCTCCCTCCCCGTGGTTGCGTGGATTCTTCTCCGGGTCCGAGAGGCGTGACAAGAGAGTGACGAGACAGGAGAGATGTAGTAGAGAGTATAGAGGCACAACAAGAGAGATGTGGAATTTTCTCCGGGTTCTCTGGTTTTCCCTCCACATTTAGAAGCAACATCACACATTAATATTATTTAGCTGCTGTTATAAATGTCCACGTTATGATAAGCCACTTCGTTGATCTATCATTAGTGATATCCAGGTCACTTCTGAAAAAGAGATACATAGCTCAATGGGCCTTAGCTTGATTTGAAGCTTTCGTTACTGCAGGAATTACTCTTTGGTTCTTTCGGTAAAGTCACGTAGAAATAAAATAAATAAAATAATAGAGTACGACGTTTCGATTGCAACACAAGCAACCGTCATCAGGTAGAACAAAATTTGAGAGAGAGAGAGACAAAACACAGACACGGAGACAAACAGACAGACACAAGCAGAGAGAGATAGCACAGAGACACACAGAGAGAGACACACAACATAGACACACAGAGACCCAATGCCGCTGTGTCAATGCCTTAAATAGAGAGAGAGGGGGGGTAAGCAGAGAGAGGTGGGTCTGCTGGGGCAGCTGTTGTAGCAGAGAAATTAGCATATCAATGAATCCACCCCGCTGGTAAAATGAAATAAAAAATAATCTAAATCGTTAAAATATCGAAAAGACATGTTCCTGAAATGTTGTACGCACGCATGTTGATCTTTTTACACACCGTACGCACCCAACCTAGTTGTTCGTAAAGCAAAACTCCGTAAATCGAACTCTGTTTTTCCCCATTGCCATCCATTATATAATTGGAGATACGTTCCAAAAAACACACTTAAGAATGCAGCAAACCGGACAATATTAGAACCGTAATACACGCAATAGACATTGGCACTAAAGGATAAATAACCTCATTGCCTACGCCATAACGTTAGACGGGGAGAAGGCATATTTTGACAGGGTCGAGTGGAGATTTCTCTTTCGGGGGACAGGGAAAATGTTGGCCTCACCCTCCACATTCATTAACAATTACAACATTTCTTCATGTTAAACCCTTTCGCTATGGAAGCAGTGCATTGTTAAACGTTTCAGACTATTATGAATGCATCTTTTATACGAATTTGTCTGTCTGTTAATGAAGCGTCGCTCAGTGTTCGTACCGTATTTTTGTGCAAAACACCGCTACCTGCACGGTCACTACAGGTTGCAATTTACACTGCCCATTTTTTACCGCTTGCTTGAGATAATTCTGGTTACGACCGTTTACACTGTCTGCGATGATGGTGTCACATAAACAACCACCAACAATGAGGTAAGAGGAAGCCACTTCCCAACTCACCTCCCGTGGCTACGGCTCAAGAAGCCCAGAACAGAGTGCGGTGTTTAGGAGGTGAAGAGGGCAAGCAGGACGAGATGGGATGGGGCATGCACGTGGGTAGATGGATGTCAATAATGTTGGGGGGAGTGGTAGAGCAGCGGTTAGCGCTATGCTCGCTGCGCTACGAACCCGGCGATTCCGGGTTCGATTCCCACTCGCGGTCAACAGCAGTGATAGCGATTATCTGAACCAGTCCTGGGCCTCTCCTAGGTCGACTCAGCATCAAATGAGTACCTGGTGCCGTGTATAGTAAACATCACCACTTGGGGAGACAAAGGCGGGCATGGTGGTCCTGGCCACCCACTCCTCGTGTGCCATGCCGTCTTCCATAGATGCTGCTACTCGCTAATAGCACTTTCCCCAACAGTCTAAAATACTACACGAGGAATCTTTGTCTCTGTGCGTGTGTGTGCGTTCCTCGTGTGTGTGTGCAATTGTGGCGACTCATTGGCCCCCTTCTGACCACAAGTTTGCATCAGGACTCAAGTTGTTAACACAATGAACAAAGAATATAAAAAAATAATATGGACTGCTCAGTCACTACCACATCACTTGAATTAACTACTGGTCAAAATTGTTTTTTCCATTTTCAGAATTCTTCAACAATCTCTCCAACACGTGCCCCCTGCATCTGAACTGCTACACTGACCGCGTGCTCCAGGATAAAATCCGTTTCAATAGGAAGAGGCTGGTCCAAGCGTTCGCGAGTAACATTGATCCGCTGTTCACACAGCTCCACAGCCGGCGCCTGTTCACCAGGAACAACATACGGGTGGGTATTTAGTGGGCTTCCTAAAACACATCGCAACTGCTTGCCCTCCACACACATGGGCAGAGTCCTCAAAAAGCTGTATTTAGACAATATGAAAGTGTATTTTAAATAATTAATCTATGCATAAAGTAGACAGGGGGGTTTGATCATTGACCGATGGAAAGGTCTAAGTAAATGTACCCTGCAATTTTCTTGCTCGTGCCACTGCTCGTGCAAGGTGCCCTCCAAATTTTTGCACCACCCCAAACTCTGTGGTGCTCTACATAATCGATGTGGTTTCTCTCGGCCAATTAATTTCGTGAGTGTTTGCACGTAGGAAGAAACTGGAGCACCCGGAGAAAACCCCACGCTTACGAGGTGGCAACGCTCTATCCCATATAGACGGACCAGGTGGGGTCCATATTTTGCTATACCGCCGTTATCCTGACAAGTCACGATATGGCTCCTCCTCCGACGCTCAAAAGGAAGGGAGTTTTGCAAATTTTAAACTATTGAAAGCTCTTTTGCAAGGCCCCACTGAGCTACTGTGTAGCTCTTTTTTCAGAAGCAACTTGGCCATCACAAATTATAGCAGCTCAACAAAGTGGCTGCTCATCATCATGATGTGGAAATTTACAGCAGCAGCCAAATACTCCAAATGCTTGATGTTGATTCTAAATGCGGATGTAAAAAAAACGGAGAACATGACCACAGGGAGAGAAACATTTACGCAAACTCCAAATATACATCAGCAGGCGTCATGGTCGGGTTCGAACCCACGAGCTGTTAACTACCTCGCCTGTATTTTTCAATTTAAAGCTTTCGTGACTGCAGGGATTAATCTTCTTGGTTCTTTCGGTTAAGTCACGTAGAAGGGAAGTAATAAAATAATAAAAATAAAACTTAATAAAATAATTCTCACGACGTTTCTGCCACAACGCAAGTCATTATGCCTGTGCATTATGCAGGATTAGCAGAATCAAAGGGAGGGGGTAGGAGTAGCATTAATGAAGTGAAGGAATGTTAATAGTATGTAGCTGCAGTAACTCAACCACCACGTAAACAACTAAAGTATAAACTACATAGTATCATCAGTATACTAAATACACTCTCCAATAAGCTGATCTACTAACAGTAAGTAATACATTATAATTCTATGTCGCAAAATTATAATATGCTTCCAGCTAAACTTTATTCTCTTACATCACACGGGTCTACCCCCTGCTATATACTGCCATAGACAAACCCAACATTAAATTATATACTGTATTATTATACACCACCCTATACCGTATACATTGTAATATTACACTATGTATTATTCTACCCACCCTACTATATATCACACTGCTGTATATTCACTATACAATTGCGATACTATATATTACTTTATACATTGTATTAAGCATTACAATTTTATACTATTTATTATTATACAATCCGCTATACACTATACCATTGACCGTCGCGTGAAATATACTAAGAGGAAGCAACGAAATATGTCAATGGGAGAGTGGTGGTAGGAGGCTTGCAGCGGAGCAAAGAATCCATTCCCTGCGGAGAATACAAGATATGTAGTCAATACCAGTGAGTGGACTGCGGTATGAAGGTCACCATAAACGTGAACATAATCAGTTAAGATCCGAAATGGTTTATTACGTCCTTCCAATGATTGCTGAGCCAGAATCCATCTTCTCGGTTGAAATTGTCTCTGTGTTTGTATATGTGGATCGCCTCATGAACAAATCTCTCATGGTAGCTAGATGGCTTGCAGAGAACCTCTGTCTTGGAGAAGTTAATATCATGTGAGCCCACTGAATTGTAACAGTGATCTGCCACGGCTGAGGTGTTTGCCCTACCGTGTTTCAAGTCTGCTTTATGTTCACGGATGCGGTCAGAGACATGTTGTTTGGTTTCTCCAATGTAACTGCTACCACAGAGGAAACTTAGTTTGTAGACGCCAGGGTACTGTATGTCTGGAACCACATCTTTTACAGACGGGACCAGATCACGGATGTTATGTACTGTGTTGAATCGGACCTGGATCTTGTGTTTTATCAGGGTTTTGGAGATCTTTTTTGTGACCCCAGCAATATAGGGTAAGGTGATGATTGCGATGGTGTCAGGTACACGAACTTTGGTGAATAAGGAAACCACATCAAAACTGACAAGCAGGTCGTCTGGGGACAGGGAAATTCCCTTGATTGTCGATACCAGGTCAGTAGAGTTTAGTACCGCAGAGGTGGTTTTTCCAGTGAAAGGCCGCAGGATTTCAGACAAAAAACGAGCCAGTTTGTAGGTGAGGGAGTTGATAGTAGAGACAATGGGACGAAGAGGTGTATCTTCTTTATGTATCTTTGGCAAGCCATATAATCTTGGTGGCCTGGCTGCAGAAGGTTTCAACGAGAACTGTTTGGTTTGATCAAATAATGCGGTTGAATCAGAAATGATTTTGTTGGTTTTAATGACGAGGCTGTTGGTGGGGTCTCTTTTTAAATCCTTAATATTAAGTTCGCTTGCTTGCTTATGACCGTGCAAATCTTTCGGTCGTTTTTTAACCCACTTCCCGTGATCAAATAGAGCTGACATTTTCCACACAGACTCGTTGTGCGTGACAATTTATTTTCGTGAAAATTTTTTTCCATAACTTTACACTTTTTAGGAATTTTTTTATATATTTAATTACCAATTGCTTAATGGTGGCAGGCAATCATCTGACCCATAGGTGGCAGCCATCTCAGCCAGTGGCCGAAACGTCGTGAGAATTATTTTATTATGTTTTATTTTTATTATTTTATTACTTCCCTACCTCGCCTGTATACCAGTCGAGGCAGTTAACATTCTAGCCATTGTGGCACCCGTTGTGTGTGTGATCCACCAACACCCATCTACAGAGCTGGATTACAGGCAAGTGAATATTCACGACCAGCAGCTGGCTAATGTTTCCTTCATACATTTCTGTCCGCCTAATGATGAAAAAAATATATTTTATGCAACCCATCGGGGCCCCACGGCTCCTTTCAAGAGTGCATGATTTCAGCAACAGTGATTCAGTACATATCATCAAACTCTGGGCCGATCTTCAACACAGTGTCTCATTAGCACGGTCAATCTTCTGTGGGTCAGTTTACTTGCATGTGTACGGTTCACGCGGCCACCTTAGTGTCATCATCCCAACAAACGGCCGCGTTTCTTCAGATCATTCGTCCACCTAATGCAGTTCATCCTGAGCCCTGCTCATTTAGATTCTGTGCCAGCAGACAATGGTAATAGGGGGGCTGCTGTAAGCGAGACCAGGTCAAGTAGATAGGAGCTGAAGAATGGTTAGAGCAGAAATCTATGGGACCTTTTTTTGCCAGTATAAAATTATCAAAATAAGAATAGGTTTTAACCTTTCTCGCAATTAAACAGGAGTTGTGTTAAGATGTTCAAACACCAAATATAAACCTTTCGCAAGGAGGCAAGTCTGCATTTTTTAATACTTTGATACTGCCAAAAGAATGTCCAAATTTTTCATTCAACATGTTCCCATAGAGCCACTGCATGATTACGAAACCCAGGGTTTACATTTTTAAATAGATCATACATCTCAGATGCATCCACATATGGCTAAATGGTATCATATTTCGAGTTAAAATAAGCTACAATTCAGCCTTCAATGAAGCTGTTCTTGATTGCGACAATGAATCACTGGAAGTAGCACTTCACCTGTATTCACCACACACTGCTGGCAGCTGTGTTTAGGTAATCGTTCTGTTCGTGTGCCGCCGCATCTGCCCACCTCTTGCCGTGCATTTCCAACAAAATGCGATCTTCAATTTGCTGAGTGTTTTATGTTCTTCCACCTGCGAAATATATCCCGGCTCCGTAACATCCTTGACACTGCAGACATTTAAAGACTGATCCACACATTTCTTTTCTCCCGCATTGACTACTGTAATTGCCCTGCCTTTTTGGAACCTTAAGCAAGCTCTTTAACAGACTGCAGCCTGTTCAAAAAGTGGGTGCCAGGGTGCTAATTGGTTAAAGCCCTTTAAGGATCAAATCACACAACTGTGCTCCTGTCCCCTTCACTGCCTCCCTGTCTGTACCCCCAGTGTTGATTGAGATTCTCTTACTGGTATTCAAGGCCTTACATGGACTTGCTCCTCCTCCTTACAATCACAATCTCCTTCAACGATGTATTCCATCAAGACCATTGAGATCCTCAGATTGTGAATTGCTCACTGTGTACAACGCGTGCATGCATGTGTGTCTGTTAATGTAATGGTGGAGATGAGTGAGGAAGCAATGTGGTGCCGAATCTGTGATGCTGATTAAATTCGGCGAAAGTGTAAATTTGACGCTTTGAAAAAAATGCTTCTTATAACCTATTTACATGCTTCCACTTTTTAAACCGTTAGTGCATCTAGTAAATGGATTCTTAAAATGTATTCATGATATAATTATTTTCATGCTCAGTGTCTGCTGCTGGTGTGTTTTGTACAGTGCTCTGAGATCATTGATGAAAAGCGCCACGTAAATTTATCATGCATTATTGTTGCACCCCCCCCCCCCCCTCTGACAGACGCTCAACGAAATGGAGGCCAAGAAGGCATCTGCGCACGTTCTGGAACTTGTCCTCAGCAAGGATCAATACAGGGCCAAGGCGTTCTGGGAGCTCCTGTGGGAGTTGAAGCATTCCTATCCTGCTCTCGAAGACATCTTCTGCAGCTTCTGAGACAAGAGTGGAGTTATTTTTTTGTATTAGTACCCGGCATTGCCCGGGCATAAAATATATTTCAAAACTTCTCTTAAAAACATTACATATACATACACAGATACTAAGTAATTTTGAAAGCCCGGTGGGCCGTTTGTTAATTTGTCCACCAACAAAATAATTAGAGGCTTGCAGAAGTCCAAAAAATAATAGAAATTGGGGGGTGAATAGTTGATCTAAAAGGTTTGCGAAAATTGTCGACCCCTTTAGAATCTACTAACTCTATAGTAGTATCTACCAACTCAATTGCAGTATCTACTATCACTACAGCAGTGCATACCGACTTAGGTGGTACCTGCTATCACTACAGCAGTGCATACTGAATGTGGTGGTATCCTGCTATGACTATTGCAGTGCACACTGACTGTGGTGGTTCCTGCTATGACTACAGCAATGCATACCGACTTTGGTGGTCTCTGATATGACTACAGCAGTGCATACTGACTGTGTTGGTACTTGCTTTAACTACAGCAGTGCATACTGACTATGGTGGTACCTGCTTTCACTACAGCAGCGCATACTGACTGTGGTGGTGCCTGCTATGACTACAGCAGTGCATACCGACTTTGATGGTACCTGCTTTCACTACAGCAGTACATACTGACTGTGGTGGTACCTGCTTTCACTACAGCAGTGCATACCGACTGTGGTGGTACCTGCTATGACTACAGCAGTGCATACTGACTGTGGTGGAGCTAGCTACGACTACAGCAGTGCATACTGATTGTGGTGGTACCTGCTATGACTACAGCAGTGCATACTGATTGTGGTGGTAACTGCTATGGCTACAGTAGTACATGCAACTGTGGTGGACAGACAGTACATACGCCGGTGAGGGTGTGCACGGTGTGTTGGCAGAGCGGAGTAACTAGGGTAAGGGTCACGGAGGACCTCGTCTGGAGGCCCCTGGAACTTGCTAGCGGGTTCAAGAAGCGAGGGTGGAGCCAGGCTGCGCTGGTAGCATAAAAGGAGCCGAGAGCGGGTGGGCTCGAGGCTGCCGGTTCTGTGAATGGACTCGTCTTGTCGCTGTCATCGCTAAACGTCTCCGCTAGATATTGCGCTACGAAGGATAGTAGTTGGCTATCTCAGTCAGCGCCGTCAGTGTTAGACGACTAGTGTTATGTACAGTCAAGGCTGAGCTACTGTGGAGAGTGTGCGGACGAGACCGTGGAAGTTGTTAATGAAGAAAGTACCTCCTAGAAACTCTGTCCCTGAATCGTTGACACTACAATTGTAAACTACTGGAAATAAATTAATAATGGTGCTTCCACTTTGGGAGGGAGACATCCCCCCCCCGTGCCTCCCTCACCCCCCTGAGCTATGTAGCTCTTTTTTATAAGTGATCTGGCTAATAACGAATGATAGCAGCTCAACGACGTGGCTTATCATCATCACGTGGACATTTATAGCAGCAGCCAAATCACTAAAAACGCTAAATCACTCAAAATGCTAAATGTGGAAGGAAAAAAACACCAAAGAATCAGAGAAAACTCCACACGACCACGGGGAGAGACGACAACGCAAACTCCAAATATACAGGCGTCAGGGTCGGAATCAAACCTACGACATCCTGAATATTAGGCGAGGGAATTAACATCTCCTCGCCACCGCGGTGCCTCTTATCAATCAGGATGTAATAATTCCATAGAGATAATATCACCTCCAAATTCATCCTAACTTGTCAGTGAAGTTGTATTCAGGGAGATGGAATACAAATATGTTTTCTGTTCCCAGGTGCCATGTACAAACTAGCACACATTCACGAATAATAACAACTTAAAACACAGTTTTAGGTATTACACGGAGTTCTCGACCTACGAAAACCCGCACTTACCAACCAGCTTCCACTAAAGTATTCGTTTTCTTTACATTAACTTAAAACGCGAACTCTCACTTGCACATTGAACTGCAGCACTATTTTTTCAGCTGAGCGATTCTCTGCAGATGTTATGGATCAGCCTCGTGCTGTGAGTGTGTGTTGTGTATTGGCATTTTTTTACAGTATACGTATTACAGTGTTACAACTTAAGAACGGTTCTACTTACAAACGGGCCTTGTCAACGAATTACGGTCGTAATTCAAGGACTGGCCGTATTTCAGTAACGAATTTATTTTCATCGTTTCAGTAACTGATGATTATTATTTCAGTAACCAACCTTCGGTATACGTCAGTGGATGCTGGGGGTTCCAGTGCTTTGTTGTTAAAAGAGAAAAAAATGTTCGTTGAAGAGCGATTCACAGATGCAACACGCAGTGCCTGTGTGATTAAGTTGTTTTGAGCCAGGATTGATTACAATGATTCGTTACATCACGACCGGTTATAAATTAGCGCCGTTTAACTCTGGGAGATAGTTAGCCGGTTTTGATTAAGGTCTGATTTTACCTTTGTATTTATAAATAAATACATGTAAATTAATGATCAAACCTAGTGAGTATTTTTAGTGTGTCCTTACATTTTTTTGGTTAAAAACAACTCTAAATATGTACTTGTATCTTGTATTTTATAATATGACACTTTTATCAATAATATCTTCATATTTTTGCCAAGCACTGTATAGATTTTCAGTAGTTTGGGAGATAAGGTCTCTCTCACTACACACGCACAAAGTGCTTGCCACAAATGAACCACAATACCTTGCTGATTTCGTCAAGAAGCATAAACCATTACGTGGACTACAGTCATCCTCGCAGTGGCTATTGGCTGGCCATCGAACGTGGTGCTTTCAGATGCCCTTCTGCGGTCGTCTGGAACAGGCTTCCTTCTAATATTAGGAAGCCACTGGATCTAAGCAATTTAAAATTCTTTAGATTGAAAGCCATTTTTTTTACTAATTTTTGTGATTAATTTGTTGTCCTTCCCCCACTCCTCCGATTATCATGGTTAAAGTCTGCTGACAACTTAACAAGTAATTGCGAGTGACTATATGCACTTGGGTAATTTAGACAACTCTTTTCAGAGACAATGTAACTCCAACCCTTCAAGACTACTCGGTGCCCACTCCAAGACAATGAAGATGACCCATTCCAAGGTGACGACAGCGACGACGATTTCCCACAACAACAGCCCCCATATCCGGTCTGCGCTAGCTCTTATCCTTCTTGCGACTCGGCCACGCCCCTATTCCTGAACTCTCTCTCACCGCACATGGCCCTGTCTCTCTCTGCCCTTATTACCATTCACGCCCGTTGGGTCCCGTGCTTCCCCTCACGTGACCCTGTTCAACGCTTGTCCCATCAATCATTATTATCAACCACTTAGGTTGTTCCAAAATATGGTGTCGCGTTGCTTATGTTATGTTAATTTTTAAAAAAAATTTTACACGAATATGAAAACCATGTTTTGTTCATTTAAGCATGTATTGCTGAAGAGAGTTGACCAGCGTAGAAGAACAAAGTTGCACCATAGAAAAGACATCCTAATGATGATGCAGGCAGTGATGAGAAGGAAACTGACACTATTTGGACACCGTATGGACAACAACAGGATTTTTTTAAAGTGTGTTGTTTTTCGAAAAATGAAAGGAGCCTGAAAAAGAGGAAGACCTCACAGATAATGGCTTGACGAAATCATAACGATTGGCCACTACTTGAGCATATTGGTACGACAAGACAGAGAGAGGCAAGTTGAAACAACAAATGACGAAATGTGCAGTGGACACCTACGAGCCATCCTCCCCACGCAGTGTAGACGATGCTGAAAAGAATACAAGAATGTCTCAAAGCTCCGAACAACCTTGCCCCAACCTACAACACCAGACACGTTGTGCACCCATGTCCCATCAAGACCTCGAAGATCTGGGGATGAAGATCTCCGCTGCGTTCCCAAGTCGAGGCTTCGGTCGATGGGCGACTGAGATTTCCCCCATGGGTGCTGCAGTGGCGATATGTTAACTCCCTTGCCTGGTATGCGGGAAGTTTGTGGGTTTGATCCCACCCTGACGCCTCTTGTATGTTTGGAGTATGCATGTCCCTCTCCCCGTGATGGCGTGCATCTTTGTTGGGGCCCTCCGGTTTTTCCCTTTCCGCATTTATAAACATGCGCTTAAGAGTATTTGGACTCTATAAATAACTATTATCAAGGCCAAAAATGAGGGTCTCGTCTGCCATCAATGAACGAACAACACGTTGGCGGGCGAAAACACGTCGCCTGGAACTAAGCGGGGATAGGTGGGTGGCTGCGTGGTAAAATCAGGATAGCTGAAATCCTTGTTTATTACCTCAGTAATGTAGTCTATTTTCTAATCGGGCACCTCACCAAATCGTGCAGTTAAAGACGAACGCACATCCGGAATGGTCTATTAACGATAGAGATCTTCAATAATAGTGATGGGACAATGAAAGCAAACAGCGACAGCGCTTGGCCTTACTCCGACTCGGGCCATAGCTCAGCCCCTTTTAACATGACGACCAAATGTAAGTTGTCTACAGCAGTGTATAATGTGGTGTATAGCGTCGTGTATAATAGTGTAGTTTCTAGTAGCGTAGTATTTTGCAGTGCACTGTAGTATAGAGTAGTGTATAATGGTGTAGTGTACAATGGCGTGTATTTATGTTTAACTTCTTTCGCACCATACGTAGTGTATATAGTGTCATACATAGTGTAGTGTATAGTAGTGTAGTGCATAGTAGTGTGTAAAGTGTAGTGTATATTAGTGTAGTATATAATAGTGTATTGCATAGTAGTGTATAGTCGTGTAGTGTATCATAGTGTGTATAGCAGTGTAGTGCATAGTAGTGTAGTGTATAGTGTAGTGCATAGTAGCCTATACGAATGTTGAAATGCTTTCCCACTGTACTAAGCCAACCGTGCTAATCGGAGATGTGAAAACCTGAACAGCCCAAAATTGGTTTCCCGAGACAGCAAAAACGAGACAGTGATTTCCATGTTCATGATGGTCTCTTGCTGGCAGGGTTCATCCACAGCTGCGACACTTGCTTTGAGTGACCATGAGTCACTATTTTTGGCACCAGCTATCAGCATTTTCACTGAGGCAACAACTGCTCCTTAAATAATCTTACCCAGTGACCGTGTGCCAAAAGAAACTTACGCGGCTGTGCCTACGATGAAGAGTAGAAGAATTAAAAATGTTACTCCAATGGGAAAGAGTCACACTTCGTATCTACCGACGCAGTACCTCAAACTGGGAATTGCCCCAAGGACCCAGAATGCAACATATGGAGGATGGGCAGGAAGGCGCGTGTGTGTGGGGAGGTGCTGGGACCGCCCACTTTGCCCCAAGGGGCGGGGCATGGTCCGTCCCCCCTGCAGCCCATTACCCGGAAGGGATAACTCTCAAAATGTTAAAAATGTGAAAATATGAAAAAGTATTCGTGAGTTTCTGGGATTTGTGCCACCACACAACAAAGTTCTTTATCCAGTAAAATTTTGGACGTAAAATATGTTATTACTGTGGCGGGCAAAGTGTGACACTCTTACATTTAAGGGAAATTTATTTTTATTTTCGTTTGAGAGATTTGTCTGAGCTTTTTGCGGTTTCCGTATTCTTGATTCAAATTTACACTTAAACCTTTCTTGGGCACGAATGCGCATGACCTCGTTACCAGTTAATATGAAGGGTTTAATTTAAGCACAATTTTTTTTTTAGAAACAGTCGTCACACTGCAAAACATCCCCTGCATGTGTAAAGGGTGAAGAGTCCTCTTTATAACAAATAATATTAATAGTCACATTTGGTAATTGCGCCATCAAGTGGTGCAATGTCACAGATGCAGACGCCGTTCCTCCACTAGGGGACGATGGGGCGCCGTCCCCATCAATCAGCTGGAGATGAGAAATTATTTTTCTTCTGAAAAAAAAGGCATTTCTAAAAAAAAACTTTGTCTTTTAAATTTTGTAAAAATGTAATGATTCTTTCAACGCTAATTGCCGAATTAGGATAACCTTTTCATTTGTTCATATTAGAAACCACTGCGACACCACGGTCTGATTTGTGCGTCGGGAAGGTCTCTGGGCCGGCTGTGTAGGCATCTGAGTGAGAGATTCCCATTCATTCATTGCGATCACCTTCGCATTTTAGCCACGCCGTTTGAGCCCCATTTAGGGCGGTGAAAAAGGCCCCCATAGCTGTAATGACGATAGAAGGTTACGGTCTACACGTAGGTGTAAGAATGTATGCGGCTGTTATTGTAGATTATGGAGTGTCTTGGTTGCATTGGTTAATTTGTTGAGTCGTGTCTGCTGATCTTGAATTGTTCTTTAGGATTTTGGCAGTGTCAAAAGGCTTGCATGGTGTGGACTTGGGGGTCATGGGGACAGCATTTGAGTGTTTTTTTTGCTTTATATTGTTTATAAATGCCTACCGTTGGTAGATAAGACAGTTGCGTCACTTTCATGGGAAGGTCAATAACATGACGAGGTTTTTCATAATTAGAACACCAGATTTTCCGAGGTCACTCACAACAGCCGCAACTAGTGAAAATGTTACGAGCCACCACTGCACAGATGATTATAGGCTGCCAGTAGGGGGGCAATGCTGTTATGCGCGTTTTGTATTATTTATCCTTCAACGTTAACCTGACAAGGCTATCGGCGTTTCATTGTGAAATTAAATATCCTCTTCGGGTTTCTCACAAAGCAGTATTTTATATATATTGTGATGCATAAAATAATAAAACAAATATTCAGCGAGAATATTAACGTGAAATATGTTGGAAAAATGTGAATGTAATTCAGTGTAAATGAAATAAAATGTGTGCTTAAGTGTAATTTAGCAATGTGTTTTTATTGAATTCTGATTTTTGTGCATCCAATTAAAAGAATGTTACGATTGATAATGTGTCTGATTAAGAAGCGATTATGCATGAGGTTATCACTAGTTATTATCATTGGCTCTCTCGTTGTCTAGGTGTATGTATTATCAATCGTGATAATATAAATGATTGTTGCTTATCATTTACTGATTCTCGCTTCATTAATTATGAGTCATTATGTCAGGTTGTAGGATCCAGATCTCACCGCAGAATACAGTTCTCACAACTGAGACAATGATACATGAGTTTGGAAAGAAGCACTCGGAATCCTGCTTGATATAAGCAGCTTTAATATCAACTTACTCTAATATCCAAATACACTTGTCATCACTTGTCAGAAATTGTCAAATCTCACGACCACGTGATTAAAATAGAACAATAGGAAAATACCTCAAAATGGTAATATTTGTACGGAATGCGTGTAAAAAAAAGATAATGCATATAAAATGGTTAGAAAGCATCAACAATCGGATCTGTCGATCACGCGATAACAATAAAACATCCCGTCTCATGTCTCATTGGAACGCGACAATAGACAGCTCGTTTGTTGTTGTGTGTGATGCATTCAAGTTGAGATTCTTCTTCTTTCACAACCTGTACAAGGTTCAGTTAAAAATGGTAAGTGAGTGTAAAGTTAATGTCCCATCTTCTATCTTCTTTTTCCCTGAAAAATACCTCCAGTCCTACAACGAAGCGTAGAACGGCAGGCTTCGTCGACAGCTGGAGAGCGCTCGCGGCTCCCGAGTCAGCACGCTGCAAGTCAGCCGTTAGCTGCTGCACACGCGATGTTATCTGCACGCCAGGCTCGATCTGCAGCTGGAGCATGCTGCAGCACGCTGGCCCAGCACGCTGTCTGGCAGTAAACCTTGGAAGTGGCTTGGTTCGCGAGCACCTTCGGTCGCTCACTCTTGAGAGATCCCCCGCTGTGAGGCAGCCTGCACGTGTCCACACTCACTCTTCTGACCTCTCCACAATCTCCTACAATGGCAGTCAATGGGGCTCAACCAACAAAACTTTTCCAGTCTATAGCTTGGACAATATTTCATGCGCACTCCATATTGGTGTCTAACTCGTCTACAATCAACTTCTCGCATGTATTAGCTTATCACACTATTATATGAACTTTACTTCGCACATCTCTTAGCTTATCACAATTTCCAGCTTAATGCAGTACAACTTCTCGAAGTCCTTAACTTTGCAAGTGAATCAAACTATTAATAAAACGACGAATAAAACTTTAATCGATACTTAGAGTCTGCCTTAGTCAGAAATCAAATACTCTGCCTCTGCAAAGCTCACTCTTAGCCAAATTGCGAGTGCTATCCCCGGAGTCTGCCTTAACGGTACTAATGCATGCTATTTTTGTCTCCTCTTATATATAATTTATAGCTTAATTAATTCCCTAAGACACATCAAAAGCCCAAAGCTTCTCACGGTATCACTGATCTCGTGCATTCAGTCTTAGTTCACGTTTTGTTCTGGTCCTACAGACATCCTTGCACCTGAGGTCATAACCCCTATCATACTCCCTTCCTTCGGAGGTTTGTTCGTTTTGTTTGTTTCTCGATCCACTTTTGCTGGTGAGGATTGTGGCGGCAGCGTGTTGAGTATAGCGGTCCAGACCTCCCTTTCCCTGGCGACAGACTCCAGCACTACTATACTTTCCACTACACTATACACTACTACTATATATTACTATATAACTTTAGTTCTTCCTGGTGAAGTCCCAGGCGTTTGCCGGCCAGCTGAGCGGCATAGTCCTGTCAGTGTGTCCTGTGCCGGCCCCGGGGTCTTCACTGAGTGAGACGTGCTGCCCGGTAGAGTGCTAGGGGGAGTCTACCAGGGGGCATCCATACCAGGTACACAAACCGCCTCACCTAGCTCCTCTAGACCTGAGGCTGTCCCGGATTACCGAGCGCCTCAACCAATCACAGAGAGTGAGCACAGCAACCCGACGGAGAAACCTCATTTCGTCCCCTTGTACCCGCGATCTCATCCTTTTTGTCATTACCCAAAGCTCATGACCATAGGTAAAGGTGGGAATGTAGAGCTACCTGTAAACCGCGAGCTTCACTACCATGGAACGGTACAGTGCCTCCTTCCCCTCGGACACCGCACCAATCAGAAGGCCGATCTCCCGCTTCCACTTACCATCACTCGCTAAAGAGAACCCTTGGTACTTAACCTCCCCCCTCGCTTGGAGAGCACACCCCACCGTCTCACGGGAGTGAGCCACGACCTCAGATTTGTAGGTGCTGATCCTCATCCCAGCCGCTTCACACTCGGCATCAAACCGTTCAAGTGCACGCTGGAGATCACAGACTAACGAGGAGAAGAGGACAACGTCATTTGAAAAAACATCAGCAACACCACCTCCATGTCCCAAAACCAGATACTCTCCATACATCAGCTGCGCCTTGATATCCTGTCTATGAAAATCACAAACAGGAGTGGAGACAGGACACACCCTTGGCGAAGTCCAACACCCACAGTGAACGACTTTGATTTAACACCAAGAATACGGAAACAGCTCTTACTCTGGGAATAGGGAGACCGGATAGTGCACAAAAAAGCGGGAGAGGTGCATTATACTCCCGCAGCACCTCCCACAAGACATCGTGGGGAACACGGTCATATGCTTCATCCAAGTCTACAAAACAGAGGTAGACCAGAGAAGCATACTCCCATGATCCCTTTGATAACAAAGGGGTTTTCCTGGTATTGGGGATGTAATGATAGACCTACTAAAACTCATCGTTATGATCATGATACGTGATTATAACATGCGTGTAGAAATCATGGCAAGGTGCTCATTTTTGTGTTCTAACCATTGTGGGCACCTCGGTGGCTAGGAGATGTTAACTTACCTCGCCTGGAACGCAGTAGGTCGTGGGTTCGCTCCCAACCGTTACCCCAGCTGTATATTTGGTGTCTGTGTCTCTTCTCTCCCCATGGAGGTCGCATGGATTTTTCTCTGGGTCCTCCGGTTTTTGCCCTCCACACTTGGAATCAATGTCACGTGTTTAGGGTATTTGGCTGTTATATATGTCCACGTGATAAAACACTTTGTTGAGCTCTAATTTGTTATCGCTTCTGAAATACAGCTACTATATAGCTCAGTGTGCCCTCATCTGGGGAAAAAAGAATTTAGTTTCTTACCGCTCTCCTGACAATGTGAACAAATCTTGATGTTTCTATTTAGCAAATTATCTCTAACTTCCAAACCTAGATATTTTAATGCAGTAGACTCTCGATTATCCATGCTAATGACAGGGAGGATGGCAGCGGATTATCCAAAAATATAGATTTTACGCACATCTCTTTCCCAAAACCACTCATACAGGTATAAATTAGTCGATTTTTAAGCACATCTGACGATTTTGATTGTTACTCCTTGAATTTAGAACGAATACTAATAATTGACCGATCGTAGCGCGTGCTTAGGGATAACACTTTCCAGCTCCTGCGCATAAGACTCAGCCCACTAACTGGACAGCAGAGTCACGTCAATCAAAATAAATCAAACTCTGTCCACTGTTTTTAAAGATATGCAACTGCTGTGGTGTCGAGGCGATTACGTAGATTTCGGATGAACCAGGGCACGTATTTATTTGGTTTAAGAACGCGATTTGTAATTAATGGAGGTATGCGCACCACTTGGACATGTGACCGCACCCAAAATTACGACTCTTATCATTCAACGAGACTGCGTTGTCAGGGCTACAGCAGACTGCCAACTCCCTCTCATAAACTTAGCACTATAAACCACGCACGTGACCTTTGCAAGGAACTCGCAGTAAGAAAAAACACGAAGAGAAAACTTCCCACAGTGTCACCAAGCAATTGCCTAGTCTCTTCGTTTAGCATTGAATCCGGCTGCGATTTAACTGTTAAGAGCGAGATTTGTAAAAAAAACACCTTTGGAGGTGACAATGTAGACAAGAAGCTTTCGAACTCAGGCTTCTGACAAGAGTGGTTCGAGAAGCGTGACAAGAGGGCGAGGAGACAGGAGAGATATAGTGGAGAATATAGAGAAACAAGACAGATGTGGATTTTTCCCTCCACATTTAGAATCAACATCACGCGTTTAGATTTACGTGTCTGCTCTACAATTCCACTTGATAAGCCACTTCGTTGAGCTGCTATCATTTGTGATAGCCAGGTTGCTCTTGAAAAAGAGTTACACAGCTCAGTGGGGCCTTAACCCGGTGAAATAAAAAAATATAGTTTAAATGTAGTTGAAGAGAAAAATAATATTACAGAGCCGTCATAGGAGGTGAGAAAGAAGTCGATTGTCTGAGGGCGAGGAGTGAGGAGCGATGAACTTCATGACCAAGCGGAGGAGCTCGCCTGGGCTGGCGCTGAGAGGAACAATCCTACTGATGGTGAGGACTACCACTTATAGTTTCATTCACTTGTTCATTCATGTGTAATGTTAAGGGCTATAACCTTCATAGGGGAAGCATTACTTGAGGATGAATCATTGTTCCATATCCAGCAGTTGATGTTCTCTCTCTGGAGTGTTCTTTCCTTTTGCAGCCATTCCGTCGTTAAATCTCGACCTCCCGGCCATCATTCCTTCACTCTTTGTCGTGTCCTTTTTAAGCCCAGTTACTTTTCTAAACAGTCAAGATAATGTTTATAACCTTTCTATGTTCTCTAATCCACATGTTCCCCTTTCTGTCTGTCAACGAAGTTCCAAGCCTGATTATTTCCATGGTTTTACGTGCACTTTTCAATTTTTGCTGCATTTTTTCCATCAATGTCAACGATTCATAATGAGATTGAATTTCGTATTTTAACCAGGAGACAGCCCATTGTTATTCACTATCTCTGTCTCAAGTGGCATGACACAGTAATTTTTACGAGTAAAGCAAATATAATTTATTATTTAAGTAATCGATTACTCTATCCATTATCCATTTTATCACTCAACCAATCAGATAACACAAAACCAGTTGTGAGGAAGATGAAAAAATCTAACCACTTCCCATATGTGTTGTTGGACGGGAGGTGATGGGCAGGGCTTCGTGACGCCATTGGCATCATGAGCCTTCAGGGATACAGGACGTGAGGGCAGCTGCCATTTTTGAAGGGGTCTAAGTTATTGACCACCAAACAGCAGTCTTTTAAGATTGTTTGGCCAATTCATCAATTGAATAGAAGAAATCTTCCCAAACTCACCTCTGCAAAATCAGCTTTTTGTGTCGATCATTGCGTCTATCAGTGGTGGCAGAGAGCAAGGTGCTGATACCGGGTTATGATCCCACTTGCTGTAACGACCACCCAGTGTTACAGTGAGGGAAAAAAGTATTTGATCCCCTGCTGATTTTGACATAATTTCAACCGTGATGATGGCTACAAACTGAGTAATCATTGGAAAGATGTGATTAACCATGCAAAAAAGATTTAACTACACATATTTGGACCATCTTATTTGACAGACAACTATTCTTGAGTTACTGTCCAGGTTACTGATAGACAGCCAGTTTTGTTTTACCATGTTTAGCTTCTTTTTTCACACACTGGTTTCCTGCTATAAGTTTTACCCACCAAACAACATATCAGGAGGCCGTTTCTTCCTGACCTGCTTTTGTGCTTTTACCATCTGCATGGCAGAGGCTCGGTCTCATTAGCAGCAGTTGCAATTTGAACAACTCTGGCACCCCCCCCCCCCTCTCAGGCTCAGTCCTTTGTTATGTAGACTAACCGTAGTGCCAAGCCGCACCTTACCATAATAAAAGCTCAGTCCTTTGTTATGTAGATTAACAGTAGTCTCAATCCGCACCTTACCATAATAATAAAAAGTGGGCCGTTCCTGGCCCATTCCCCCCACACTCAACCACTATATATACGGGATAGTATATCTTGTATTCTCTCATTTACTTGATACAGCTATCGTGCTGTGACGGTTCCACCTGAAGACGGAAGCATGTGTTGCCTCCGAAACGTCGTGATTTTTATTTTATTTTTATTTTACTCTTATTAATTTAAAATTTTTACCTACGTGACTTTACCGAAAACCTAAGAATATGAATACTTGCAGTCACGAAAGCTTCAAATCTAGAATGAATGGGTTATTATTTTTTATGAAAGTTACTTCGCACATCTCTTAGCTTATCACAACTATTAGCTTTGTGCAGTACAACTTATCGAAGTCCTTGACTCTGCAAGTGACTAAAAATATTACGAAAACGTAAAATAAAATTGTCAGCGATACTTAAGAGTCTGCCTTAGCAAGACATCAAATACTCTTTGCCTCTGCAAAGCTCATTCTTAGCCAAATTGCAGGTGCTATCCCCGGAATCTGCCTTAACAGGAGTGATGAATATGATTTCTGTAAACTGTTACGTAGAATTTCTAGCTTATTTAATTAATTCCCAAAGACCATGGAAAGCCCAAAGCTTCTCGCGGTATCAATGATCTCGAGCATTCATCCGGTCAGTCTTAGTTCACGTTTTGTTCTGGTTCTGCAGACATCCTGGCACCTATCTGGCAACAAAACGAGAAGGGTAAACAACCAATTATCATATTTTTACTGGCAAATGAGGTTCCCATAGTGTAGATGCTTGCCCCTAGCTCTCATACTCTGATGGTGCATTGTCTTTGAGTTGTGCGCCTTTTGGCATCATCTGGTCCAACCCATGTGGGACTAGGCTCTAAGGAAAGCTGTCTCGGGTGTGGACCAATCAACTTCAAGGACAGTGCACATTATCAGAGTTATGTCTTTTGCTTGTATTTATGACTGCAGGTATTGCGATCTATGCAAACATGACTCCTTGTAAAAAAAGGTGTCAGTTTTGTTGCCAGATAGAAGGGTAAACAACCAATTATCATATTTTTACTGGCAAATGAGGTTCCCATAGTACAGGTTGCCTTAGTTAATGTATAGTGCATTCGTAAACATGAGCCAGGTTTACAGCTTCGGTATCAGTCTGTCTCTTTGCCGTTACAGTCCAAGGTACAGAGTTTATTGTACTCATTATATATGTAGGACTCGTACAAGTGTTGTCTTTATCTCTCTTTATTTTCCTCCTGGAGTCCACCTTCGCCGCGCCACCGCTCCGGGTCTCGGCGCGACCTCACTCCGCTCCGCGTCGCTCTGCTGCGCCACCGCTCTGCGTCTCTCCGTGCCCTCACTCCGCTCCGCGTCGTTCTGCGTCTCTCTACCTCACTATCGCTACGCTTGTCGTCTCTACGGTTTCTCATACTCTGCATCCTTCCGATGCATGGCTACCCTGGTTGCTCACTGCGTTCTCGCTACCACTGTCTCTCCATGCTTTACTCTACTAACACTGTCTCTCTACGCTTTACTCTACTATCACTTGCTCTGCGACTCCCTGGGCACCCTTGCTGCAACTCCATCCACGACGCCAACTCATACAGGACTCCCCTCTCTCTGTTGCGCTCTGGCTTATATCCCCACACCAATTAATCTGCCCTAATTATCTCTACTCCCCGCCTATCGCTCGCCCCCTGGCCCCCCGTGTCACGTGACCTTGTTTTCGCCGCCAGAGTGACGCCGGCTAATGCCCAATTACCTTTCCAGCCAATCACTAGCCTGTGTCCTCCCGGTTACCCTGACACCTGTTTCAACTCTTAACGACCCACTTCGCCTAAAGCCACAACAACAACCATTACCTCACATCACCCACTGTACTGTGCTTGCTCGCATAGCAACAGAGGCGGGGGATGCGTGGCGCGTTAAACTCAAGCCCTACATATATATGACCTCTCGTGAAATCTTGTCAAGTTAATGTTTAAACCAGGTGACAACTCAAGAGAACAGAGTCATCTTATTTGCAAAAGTAACCTGACGTTGTGGTGGAGAGAATGGACAATATTTATATGCAGTAGTCCCTCAGTTTACGTTTTTAATCCTTTACACGAAAACTTCTGCTTACCGAGATAACTGCTAAATTAATATAGGAATTACACGTTTAAAGCATAAAACCATTCCAAGATGATCGGAAGTTAACCTTAAAAACGTCCTGCTTCGTTTAAAACAAATTACTTTCCTATTCCTCGTTTCCTTTTGCGAATTCACTTATGAGTTGAAAAATAAGTAAAAACACTGAATATGCAAGAGAGCTATTTTCACTCCCTCAAGACCCACCTCTTCTCCCTGGCCCATCATTCCCTCTATCCCTAGGTACCCACCGTAATTCCTGAACCCACTATCCTCCCTCCCCCATACCCCATCCCTAATTCACCGTATCACTTTTAGCTACCCTCGTTGTGCAACTCATAACCCTTATGAATCGCCTTGGATAAAGGCGTTTTTTAAAATATAAGATACGATTAACAATTCCACTCGAGGTCTAAAGGCTTATAAATAGGCATCGCTGATTCGCTGAGGCATGCCGAGTCCCACTTACGAACGCTCGGATTTGCCGAAATTCGTGACCGCGTGTATAATATAAAAAAGGGGTCCCCAACCCCCGCCCGTGGACTGGTACCGGTCCGTGGCCTGTTAGGAACTGGGCTGCACAGCAGGAGGTGAGAGCGGTGATTCCTCGTGTCGCCCGCCATTATTTTATGGACTACTTCCGTCTGTGCCTCTTTCCCGCACTGTGCACTTGTCTCGGTCACAGTTTTGGTAATCCCACAAGCTAACCCTAGCCAAAATGAGTAAAAAACAAACGTCGCTGGAGAGCTTCTTCCAGGAAACCGGTCCCTGGTGCCAAAAAGGTTAGGGACCGCTAATATAAAACATACTGTTAATCAATGACGTTAACGTGAGTCAAAACCATAGGTCCTATGGGAGGTTTAACATTAACTGAAAAACCGTTAACTGATGTCACCGTTAATCGAGGGACTACTGTATATTAAAAATACAGAACACTGGGAAGACAATGAAAGTCACCCTATTGTGAATGTGATGAAGTGCGATCTCTGAATCACGTAACTCACCACTGCCCATTATAGCCTTACAGAGGAGGCACTGACTTTATACATAAATCAACTTTGGATGCCATCGAATGGATCACCTTCTCAACATAAAAGTTAAATATTTTGTTCTTTGCTTTGCACTTGCCATAAGAAAGAAATACCGGGAAGTTGACTGCTATTATCCCAATGAGTCTTACCACCACCATGGGAATGTGACATTAGCACCAAGAGCTCAGGGCCGCAGTTGAGATGAACGCCGCTCTATGGTTGTTCGAGCCAGAGACACTGACGTCTGCTACTGTGTAGGTTTATACCAGGGTTTCTCAAATCTGAAAATTCTGCGCAAAGATGTGTCTTGCATGTCCAAAATGTCAGACCTGTTCAGACCACCAGCTCAATGCCCACGATTGTGTGTTGCTCAACCTATTTGTTTCATGGCCTATGATAATTTTGTCTGTTGCAATGAGTATCATCGTCCATAATACGGGTTTTTTTGGGTTAGATCGTGGAAATATAATTGCGTCGTTAAACCTGCCACCACCCGACACAGCCAATTAGTAATGTTTATCACGTAAATAAAATATGCCAATTCGTTACTAGTACAGCACACCGGCGTGTTGGAGAGCAAATCCACAACATTTACAATCTCACTATGACGTTTATCCAGTAATTACAAAGAGCATCATTAGGCGAACAGCCTAATTGGCTGTGTTAGGTGTTGGCGGGTTTAATGACGCATATATGTACGCGATCTAACCCAAAAAAACCCTGTATTATTGATGATATTGGTAGTGAAAGCCTCCTACGTATTAAACTGAGTTCCATCGTCGTTTATTGATTTGAATTATTGCTGCCTTCACGCAAGTTATGGGTCCGATAGTGTAAACGTACAACTCCTCTCCATATTTGAGGCTCCCGGAGGCAGATGGCAACATCATATATGACTGTGCTGTACTGACGATTCTTAATGTGGATGAATCCGGTCTAGAGTTGTCTTTGTTTTATTGCTGTTTGTTGTCGGGGTGACCACATTTTCTCGACTGTGTGAGTTGGCATTTAAAAAAAACACAACGGCCACGCATTCAGTTATTTTGAGCTGTTGATCTGGATTATGGTGAGAAGCCTTTGTTCATAAAATGCTGCACACGTTTGTCTGTTGTAAATCTACTCGTGTTTGCTTATTACGTTACGGTTGTTCTGCTGTGCCTCCAGGCACATTCCGTTTTCTGAGTTTCTCATTCACAGGCAGTTATTAAATTGGTGGTTTCACTTAGTACATTCTTCATCTGTTGTATGATGGTTAAAGCTTATGATGTGAGGCCTAGTTTTTCAATCCACTCAATGGCCTCCTGAGATGCTTAGTGGAGAAATGAAACACCTCCCACAACAGATATTAGAGTTCAAGTTGATACGTTCCATGGTCTGGGAGTCATCTCTCAATTGTGAAGAAAGGCAGCCGCCATCGCCTGTGCTCTGTGCGAGTTCAGTTATTTGCTATTTACCGCCTTCGAGGGGAGGTCTACACCTGTGCTGCTGGATCAGTGATGAAGGTGTTGTTGGTTCTTTATGTTGCATGTGTGTCCACGATTCCATCCGCCTGGATAATAGGTTGGTGCCAGCTGCACCAATTGTTGCTGCCGATTTACACATTTTCCAGCGTGATGAGTTTTAAGCTCGTTACAAATGCTTCATGGTAACAACAGGGATAGGTTTTCTAAAACCACCAGCACTGTCGTAGCCACAAAGTCACGACCTTTACCCTAATCACTCCATTCTGTGTGGACCTTCTCTTCAGGTGTGTTGTGCACTGCAGGAGCCGTCTGCCGCCAAGGAGTGTGGAGATGGATTCTACAAAACACCACGAGGAGTCTGCTGCCGGTTGTGCCCTGCAGGTAAAAGCAACACACAAACACAGAGACCCCCAATCCCTACACCTCTGTGGAACGACAAAGCGTGGTGACCGGGTGCTTCCTGTCCCCACCAAGTCACAGGCCCTACTCCTGTGGAAAGGAACCCAACTGGGGCCAGCTTTTACCCCGTGACCTCATCACTATCAGGCTACAAAAAGTGATTCGATACTGAAGAAATTAGTTTTCTGTCAAGCTACTGTATTCTGAACAGAACTTAACACTGGTTGAATGCAGTGCAGCCTGCGTCTCTCTGAACCAACTTGTGGTCGCTGTGTGTTTGTAAAACGCTATTGCTCGCTCGCATTTCGTTGTCCTTCAGGGACGTTCAAGGTGAAGGACTGCACATCTGATGGAAGGAAAGCTTTGTGTGACCTGTGCCCTAAGGGCACTTTTTTGCACAGAGACAACCAGGACGAGAAGTGCTCATGGTGCAGCAGCTGTGGTTCCGGTAAGTGGCAAGACAGCAAGTAGGTTGCTGTCATATCTGCAATGTGTGTGATATTTATCTCATGTATGCATGACGGGTGTTCCTCTGGATACTCTCATTTTAACTGGCATGAAGCAAAGACAAAACTTGATAAGCAACTGACCAAAACATTTTGAAAGAGAGACAATCCCACCTCGAACTAAATATTCCAATTGTCCAAATCATGATCTTGTCAAGAGACAACAAATGCCTGGGAACTCTCACACGCCACAGAAGATGACATCACAGAACCACATTTTAATTCCAATTTGTAGGCCCCTTTATTCATACTATGGTTAGGCAATTGTGTCCTTCTGACAGACAGGTGGCATTCAAACTGAAATGAAATTTTCAAAATGAATTGGTGCAGCTACTTAACATCAACTCGGTATAATCACAGGCAGCTGAAATCCAGATTAAAATCCAAGATATTGTACGATTTTTTGCAACATACGTAGCCAACTGTGCTACTCTTAGGTTGTGTATAGTGTATTGTATAGTGTAGTATATATGTAATAGGTTCAACTGAGTCTGAGACGGAGACTGGGAGGCAGCACATTTATTCAGTTCCAACACACGGGGTAACTTTCCCCTTAACAGAATAACAACCTGTGGTGTTGACCACCAGGCTAACTACACTAGTTACTACACTACACTAGTTACTACACTACACTAGTTACTACGTAGCTAGTGTAGTTAACCTGGTGGTGACCACCAGGCTAACTACACTAGTTACTACACTACACTAGTTACTACGTAACTAGTGTAGTTAACCTGGTGGTAACCACCAGGTTAACTACACTAGTTATTACACTACACTAGTTACTACGTGTAGTTAACCTGGTGGTGACCACCAGGCTAACTACACTAGTTACTACACTACACTAGTTACTACGTAGCTAGTGTAGTTAACCCGGTGGTAACCACCAGGTTAACTACACTAGTTACAACGTAACTGCTAATTTGGACCGGGACCAACAGCTTCGGCCCGGGTCTACGTGTTCGAGACTCGTTGAACCGAGAAGGTAGACGAATATTTCTTCCAGGACGAACAACAACCACGGTCCCTCTCGGGTCCCGGCTTATATTCTCTGTGGTGTGGCCAGCTCCGCCCTTGGCCACGTCCACTTTCCAGAATCCTCGGGAAGGATCTGGGTCCCAATCACGTGACCACCCCTAGCCCCATCTTGGGGCCCCTTTGTAGACTTAACTGGTCACGTGTCCTCTCGGGTCAACCAGAGTGCCATGGTCTCGAATAACCTCATCCTCCGGCCGGCACTGCACGCCAAGTGTGGCACCATCGAGCGCTATCATTCAGCGCTCACCGGGCCCCTCTAGGACAGTACTACACCCACGATGTCGCTAGACTGCACACCATGCACTGCACCCAGCATGTCGACATCCAGCGATGTCACTACATATAGTAGTGTGCGTGTACGTATCCATAATATCGAATTTTGGGTTAGATCACGTGAATATAAATGTCTCGTTAAACCTGCCACCACCCGACACAGCCAATTTATAAGGCTTGTCACGTTAAGAAAACATACCAATTCGTTAATAGTTTAGCACACTGGTGAGTTAGAGAGTAAACCTACTACAACATTTACAATTAGAGTACCGTGACGTTTCGCTAGTAATTACAACCAGTAGCATCAGGCAACATCCAGAGTTATGGAGAAATCTTCGTGTTTTGGTCTTAAATAGAGGGGACAATGTAATGTCTTCACTTATGAGCCAATCCGGTGCGAACAATAGAGGGGGGTTAATGTATGCATATCAACTACAATGGATAACATCATGGGACCTCCTTTTCCAGTATTAAATTTTAATAATAGGGTTTTCCCATTTATGGCAATAAATCAGGTGTTAAGATGTTAAAACACCAAACTGAAACCTTTGCAAGAAATCATGTCTGCATTAACCACATATTCTTGTGGTGAACATGCAAACAAAACGACGTAATAATTAGTTGTGTAAAACGAATTATTACTGGCCGAGACTAATTGGAGAATCTATTGAAATTGAGATAAATACAATTAATTTTAACTGCTCTGACAGACTTAATGCGGCCTGGAAGCGTATTATTAAGTAATACATCTTACAACTGTATTCCTTATAAAGTAAACACATGCTAATCAACTGGGATTAGCTTTCTAATCTATTGTCATATAATTTCAATATCCCCCCCCCTCCTCCACCTCTGATCTCTCCAACACACCAGTGGGCTGAAGTTGTAAACTAATTGGCGCGTTGTTTACGTGACAAACCTTACTGTTTATGTCGGGTGGTAGAGGGTTATGACACATTTATACTTAAGCAATCTAACCCAAAAACCTTTATTATGAAATATATGTTGAACTTCTTTCACACCGTACGTAGCCAATCGTGCTAATCTGTGGGTTTCTGTGGGTCTGTATTGGTCTGGGTTTGTGTGGGTCTCTGTGTGTGTATGTTTGTTGAACTTTAGCACCGTCAACTTTCTCATTGCAGGCGAGGAGGTGGCTGTGAACTGCTCCGTGGCCCAGGACACGATGTGTCGGTGCATGGAGAGGCTCAAGAGAGATGGCGATTCGGGAATTTGTCTGCCTGAGGAGACACACTCAGGTAGTAGTAGTGTAGTGAGTCCAACTGAGTTGCAGACGTTGTTCCTTTTAGAGGCAACACATTTATTGTAACACCATAACACAAAGGGGTAACGGCCCCTTTACCCAAAATAGCCTAGGGTGGTGGCCACCCAGCCAACTACGCTATATAGAGGGGTTACTGCTAAGAAGGGTCGGACCCTCACTCGGGTCTCCGACGACGTGGTTGCCTCCTACGAGGGAGATCTTTCAGCTTGAGACGTAGAGCTTCCCGCTTGTAGGTGTTGAGCTTCCAGCTTGTAGAATGCAGTGACCCCCGGTCCCTCAGTTACTCGCCTTATATCCCCCTACGGTCGGGGCTGCTACGCCCTCGGCCCTGCCCGCCTTCTCCAGCATTCTCGTTCCCTCTCGATCCCTCTCAAGAGCTCTCCCCGGACACGTGATCACCCACTACCCCCCCCCCCCCCACCTGGGGCCCCCTGTCTGGACTCTCTGGATTACGTGTCTACAGAGTCAACTAGAGTGCCATGGCCCGGGGCAACCCTGCCCCTGGGCTGACACTCACCCACTTCCCCTCACCCACTTCCCCTCGTGGGATCCCCCACCACAAGCTTGCGTGGTGCCCTCACTATTCCAGTGCTCACCAAGCCCCGCTAGGGCTGGTATTACACACAGCCACCCACACGGTGCTGTCCATGTTGTAGAAACATCGAATGGCGCGGCCCTTCTAGGCAGGCACTATACAGTGACATCTCTGATGTCACTACAGTAGGATTACGAAGCCGCTCAAGTCAACCACAACAGCAGATTTTTTTTTCTCAGCTGACAGTGGGAGCAAGAGACAGCCTGACAACTCAAACAGCAGAAGCTGTCTGCAATAGAAGCACGAATTGAAATTCAAGCTAATGTCTATTGCAGGCTTCAGGGACTGCATGTATGGTCAAGCCAGCCATGTGTGATGTTATTAGTTTAATACCCGGTGCAATACTGAACACCTAATATTTATTGTCTCTACACAAAAGTTTTAGGCTGGAGTCCCCTTGCCTCCAAATCTGCACACTGGGTAGTAGCACGTTTCAGAGGTTTGTGGTTTAAGCCCAACGGCTACCCGAGTTGATTCTGCTGGTGCATTCAACAAAATAAAATTCACGATCTGCTTCATGGTGAATGATAGAGGTCTGGTAACCTTATTTGGAAATAGATGGCCATGTGTTCTGGTATCGCGGTTCAAATGTGAAAATTACCTGCAAAGTTCGTTCTTGGGGGAAGGCAAATTATCAAAAAATATCGCCAACAGCTATCCAACTGCTGCAAATGATAAGCTGTGAAAAAACGCCTTTACGATATTGTTGTGCTAAACAAACTATAGAAATAATGCAAAGAGCAATTATTTTATGGTTTGATAGAGGTCTGGATTCCCATGCATTGCAATGCATCATAGAGACCAGACAATTAGGCGAAGAGGGGACTGCTGTTGACAGCTTGTTAGTTTTTCTCCTTCATAAAATTTCAGACACCACAGTAGTCGTGTTGGTAACAATCTTCGGCTTCGTCCTGACTGCACTCTTGTTGTACATATTTTACTTAAACATGAAACTGAAGGGGTCGACTTTTTAGAAAAAACTGTAGAAATTATGCAAAGAGCAATGATTTTATGGTTTTATCTTGATAGAGGTTGCGTTAATACAACGTACTGCATTCGTATACATTGCAACGTATCACATAGACCTGACAAGTAGGCGGAGAGAGGACTGCTGTTGACAGCTTCTTGTTTTTATCCTTCATAAAATATTCAGACGCCACGTCAGTCGTGTTGGCAGCAGTCCTCATCTTCTTCGTCCTGACTGCACTCGTGTTGCTCATAGTTAACTTCAACATGAAGCAGAAGTGGTTGACTTTTAAAAGGATGTTGAAGCGATCCGGTAAGTGGTATTTTTCCATGCTTAATCCAAAGATCTCATCCTTGTATTGGGGATGAAATGATACATCTTCCAAAATAGCTTTTTACTCCCATTATACGTGAATTAAAATGTGCGGAGAAATCAAACAAGCAGAGAGACAACACAAAGACACACATAGAGAGACACACAACATAGACACACAGAGTATAAATAATGTAAATGTTCTTTATGACTCTAATATCACCGCGTTTAGTATTCTGTGTCCAATTATAGAATAGTTTTTCGTTTTGGACATATAAAAAAATGATACAACCATATCAACTGTGCTATGAATCAGTGATAACCTAATTGTATCGGATTTTTTTCAGACACTCCTACAAATTATGAGCATGATGAAAATCTATCGCTTGTTCATATAATGCGAAATGAACACAAGGTGCCATTTGGAGTTCAGGTAAACTCAACACAGCATGGTGGCATGATGACCCTTCATTGTGTAGGCGTACATACTAGTACAGTGAAGACTCTATCCCACAAACACAGAAATAATTGTAACCGTGTCTTCTCCACACGCTACAGAGGAGCAATGATAGCAGCGATACAATGCAACTCATCCAAGAGAACAAAGAGAATCTCAAGACCTGGATCGGAACGGATCCCTCGGCTTTCCTGGAGCATCTCAACGGCCTCAATTTGATACCACGGCGTGTTCATCAAGCGGCTGTCGACAAGGGCGGAGAGGAGAGTGTGGAGCTCGTATTGGACCACTGCATCAGCCAGGGAGAGTCGGGCTGTGAGAAACTGTGGGACGCCCTCTACTCTGTGAGGAAGCAATACGTGCAGCTGTGGATGTGGATTCAGAAACACGGTACGACCCACGTAAACGCACCACAAAAAAACTACGACTTAACAATTTTTATATTGCCAGGTGCAAGGGCCCCCACTGAGCTATGTATTTCTTTATTTGATAGCAGCTCAACGAAGTATCTGAGATCATCATCACGTGGAAATGTATAGCCGCAGCCAAATACTCGAAACATGTGATGCTGATTCTACAGCCTCACTCATAGAGACCCATACTCAGAGGCCTCCAGAGATCCGGAGGCCAAAATAGAACCATAGAGACCCACAGAGACCCATACTCATCGAAACCCATTCTGAAACGAAACTATTTTATTTTATTTTACCAGGTAAAGCCCAACTGAGCAATGTAGTAGCGGCTTTCACATGTGATAGATGAAGGAAGTGGCTTATCATCACGTGGAAGTGTATATAAGCAGTCAAATCCTCTAAATGTGGAGGGGGGAACCAGAGGATATGGAGAAAATCCACACGACAATGGGGAGAGAGGCACCGCAAACTCCAAATATACAGCAGAAGGCATCAGGGTAGGGATCAAATCCACGACCTCCTGTATACAAGGCGAGGTAGTTAACATCTAGCCAACGCAGTTTCCCACCAGAACATTGATACTGAATCGATTTTATTAGAGTCATGGAGGGAAAAGATATGGATATGCATTGCTTTTGTAATGCTTTCCAACACGAGCTCGTCCTCGGGGGGAAGTAATTAGCGACAATAACGCTCCGTTTAAAGCCGCCATGATGCGTGACTGAACAACAACACGTTACGTGTGAACCTAAATATGTTATTTGTTGTGCCTTGATTCCAGAAGCACAACTGTAGCTGAAAAGTATTTAAAATCAATGAAATGTGTTCAACGATACGTTTGAAATTCATATGAACCTCTGTTGACTGCAGGCGAGGCATTGAGGGCCATTCGAGATAAGGAGTCGGATCTGAAGCTGTGGATTGCCAAAGACCCCAAACATCTTCTGCTCCTGCTGATGAGCCGAGGACGAATCTCGAACGAGCTTTTCACTGAAGCCAAGAGCATCCGGGATGGCGCGGAGTGTGCGGAGCTGCTACTCAAATACTTCATAGAGAGAGGGAACGATGACTGCCTCAGGCTTCTGTTTGCTGTGCAAGCCGTGCGGGACGAGTATCCTGGAGTCAAGGAGTGGCTGGAAGGCCTTGGTAGTAAACAATCTTTGAGACACCTTCCACCTCTTTCATGTTAACCGGCCATCATCTCTTCCAGTGATATGTCCTGCCCAAGTGAAGCCGGTGTGATCTCAGCTGTGATGAATCGCACGTATACGTTGTGCACTCTGCTAATTGCTGTGGAGAGCCAGGCGCATTTATTTTATTATTATAAGTGAAGGCAATGATGCACAGCAGCGTGTAGACTATTCAGAGTAGAGGGCACGCCTCCAATTCAAATTTGGGGTGGACTACATGCTGCTGAGATTATACACTACATTAGCTCCATTGCAACATAAAAATGCAAAAGTAAAATGAATATTACATGAATGTAATATTAATTAATGTAATATTAATTAATCGACTGACAGGAACTCGGTTAATGTTAATTGACTGTTGATTGGGTTTTCGGTGGTGATGAAGAAATTCACAATTAAGACTTTAATATTAAAGTTGATTTAAATATGTATTATACTCATCACAATTGTTTCTAGACTATTAACACTGGTGTTCAATCCCATCGATAGGGCGACTGAGCTGAGGTGTTGTTGTTGTGACGTGGAGCGTGATGAGGGGTGGCGGTTCGTTGGGTCACGATCGCAGGCAACGCAAATGCCCCTCGAAAGAGACACTTTGAAATGCCGTTTCATAAACCTCTGGTGCTCATCTATTGTGGAGTCGCCCTCACTTCACAGGAGGACAGAAACACAACGCGGAGTCACAACTCATCATCGTTTCCGAACTTTATTATTGTTAGTTTAACACATAGTAGTCGTATAGGGCATTCGCGACCAAAATGTATCCACAATGGAGGTTTTTTTTGGGTGAGATTGCGTAAATATCAATGTTTCGTTAAGCCAGTAGCTACAGGCTTCGTGCTGCTTGGAGGTCTATTGTTAAGTTACACACGCCTATACAGATCACCATACCTGGATGGGGATTAGCTGTGAGCAGCCAATAACTGGTATTGCGATTTTTGCACCCAAAAACGTCAGGATGTACATACAATAATAGATATCTGTGGTCATATATGTGACTACACGAACCCCCCCCCCCCGGTTCTCGCACCTGATTAGCTCACAAGTGATGACATCACAGTTATCCCTCCTCGATTTAAGATACAAATATAATTTCTCCACAACTCTTACGAATTGGCTTTGTCGGGTGGTGGTGGGTTGAACAACACACATTCGTTTTTACGCGATCTAACCCAAAAACCTCTTATGGATAAAATATTCTAGAGGGCTAACATTATGTTCAGCTGTCCAACCTGCTCTCGTCCACTCCTGAAGGCTTATTCAGTGTGAACAGTGTCCCTTTTGTGGTGCCGCAGGCTTCCTCAGGAGACTCTCCACGTGCCCCGTGGATCTGAACAGCTACAGCGAAAATTTCCTCCGGGACAAAATCCGCTTCCAGACGAGGAAGCTGCTCCTGGCACTGCGGGACGACCTGACGCCTCTGGTCTCCCAATTGCATATCAGGAACATACTCACCGACAACAGTGTGAGGGTATGTCGGCAAAGATAATCGTATTCACATTCATAATCATCATTTATCATCTCATAAATAGGTTTTTGGTATTCGGAGACCGAGGTCTCGAACTGTTATAGCCTCGCGTCGTTCTCTCTGCTATCACCCCCTCGGTGTGGAACTCTCTGTCCCGTTGCACATCCTCAACATCAAATGCACTCTGATTTTTAAGCAACATCTAAAGGGTCAGGCTTTAGAGCAGCTGAGCTTGGCACCGTGCCTTTGAGATATTGACTTGTCTGCAAAATGTGGTGAGTTATAAATGTCATTATTATTTGGCCAGTATATTGAATAATAATTTAATGTTAGAGTGCATTTTATTTTGCAGATGTAAAAAGGGATTAGAGTTCCACACCGAGGGGTGACAGCAGAGAACCAACGTGAGTCTGTTACAGTGTAGTGTATAGTGTAGTACATAGTAATGTAGTGTATAGTGGGGTGTAATGTATAGTAGTGCATAGTGTAGTGCTATAGTAGTGTATAGTAGTGTAGTGTATCGTGACATCAGGCTGTAACAGTTCGAGACCTTTGGTGTCTGAAGAAGATTTGGAGCGACGATGCTGTGTAGAGTCCTACCATGAGCCTTCAGTGCAAGGCGAGAGTTGTGAGGCGAGGTGCAGTGGTGGGGAACCGGTGGTTAAGGGGTGATGACAAACGCAGGCGATTATTATAATTTGTCCTTGCTGGAGAAAGGGAGCCAATGAAGAGCACGGAGAGCAATGGCCGAGTCGAGTCGTGGGTTGGTGGACACCAAGGACGACACGAGGAAGGTTGTTCTGGAACCCTTGTAATTTGAGGACGTTGCTCGATGATGATTTGGATGGAACGACATTGCAGTAGTCGAGGTGAGGGCCGACCTATAACTGCAGGCGACGGTGTTGGCAATATTTATGGTAATGACTGGACGTGGGTGACGAAGAGTAGTTGACATGAATGTCCAGAGAAAAGGTTGAAGAATCCAGTGTGACAACGGTGAATTTGATGCGGTCCATAAGGGGAATGCTGGTGCCGGTGATCGTGATGTTGAGCGGAAAAGAGGGTGACATGAGCCGCTGTCTGGTCCCAATGAGTGTGGCTTCAGATTTGGCTGCATTTAAAGAAAGATCATGCGACCAGAACCAGTGCTGCGAGGCTGTTGTGCACTCTGAGAGATTTTCAATTCCTTGAGCATTAGTGGGATTCATTGGTGTATATAATACAATGTCATCAGCATAGTAGTGGTATTTATTTCCGAAACTATTAATAATTTGGCAGCATGGGGGGATGTGTAGACATCAAACAGTAGTGGCCCATGCACAGAGCCCTGGGGTCCCTGCACGAGTCCTTTGTGATAGTGGATGTGGATTCACCTTTTTGAAGAGGTGGTTCTCTCTCGGCCACATAGGATGAGATTAATTTTAAGACTATTTCTCCAATTCCAAAGTCGGACTCAAGAAGACTGGCAAGCTGGTAAAATTAACAAAATCGAAAGGTGATCGAATGCCCAGACCAATGAGAGCCGCGATTGCAGCAGAGTCGACGATTAAATTGCAGTCTCCATAGAGTAAGTCGGACGGTCGGCAGATTGACAGGGACAGGCGTTTGGCGACGAGGTAATCTGAGTCTTAATTTGAGCAAGAGTACGACTGTCACGAAAGCACTATGAATAGGCTTTCTAGGCTTTACAGAACATGTCCCATTTTGAGTCTACTGCAGAATTGGTTGACAGTGATAAATCATAGTTATCAGCAATGAGTGCTATGTGTGTGTCTGATGTAATTCCTTTTAGTGCTGGTTTTGTTTCCAACTTTTTAGGGGAATCCTGTGATCAATGTGGCCAGTATTCTGCAGGGGTAAGTCCCGAATAGCAAAATCAAATTTATCCAGAAGTGTTTGTTCATATTGGATCATCTTTACTAGAGTTATTGTAGCCACAGGCATTACAGATTGACGGAGCCAATTTTAAACTTTTGGTTGGGAGGCGTGAACAACAAATATGGGACCTTGTTGTACGTGTCTCACAATCACGCGCACCAAGTCAAACTTTTGTCATTAACGTTGCTTCACGGCTGAAACAACACAAACAGAGTGGTTCTGGAGTATTGTAGGCAAGTGGCTCTGAAGAATCACCATCGCTATAGAAACGTCATTCCGCTATGAACGTCGCTTCTTGCGGTCATTGGTTCACCCGCAGGAAGTGAAAAGAATGCAAGCTCGGCAAGGCAGCGAGAAGGCGACGCAGCACATGGTGGAGTTGGTGATGGCGAGAGGGCGACCCAGGGTCAAGCAATTCTGGGAGGCGCTGTGGGACCTCAGGGAAAGTTACCCAGACCTAAAGGACATCTTTGAGAAATTCTAATGGTTGGAACCAGAAAGAGAGGAAGACCTAACAGAGAATGGCTTGACGACATCATAACGAGATTGGTGCCAGAAAGATGTGGCCACTACTTGAGCAGATTGACACTACAAGACAGAGAGAGGAAATTGGAAACAACAAATCTTGATTTAAAGCTTTCGTGACGGCAGAAATTCATACTCTCTGGGTCTTTCGGTAAAGTCACGTAGATAGAATAAGATTATTATTCTAAATAGAATAATAATATTTTTATTCTGAATAGAATAATAATATTTTTATTCTATCTACGTGACTTTTCATACTCTCTGGGTCTTTCGGTAAAGTCACATAGATAGAATAACAATATTATTATTCTAAATAAAATAATATTTTTATTCTAAATAGAATAATAATATTTTTATTCTATCTACGTGACTTTTCATACTCTCTGGGTCTTTCGGTAAAGTCACATAGATAGAATACAAATATTATTATTCTATTTATAATAAAAAATATTATTGTTCTATTTACGTCACTTTACCGAAAGACCCAGAGAGTATGAATTTCTGCCGTCACGAAATAGAATAATATTTTTTTATTTTTTCTACGTGACTTTACCGAAAGACCCAGAGAGTATGGAAACAACAAATCATGAAATGTGCAGTGGACCACATCCTACGACGGGGCTATCTGTCCATGGATCATGATGATGATGTATGAGTTGTGGTGCAGTGGTTATCGTACTGCACTAACCACAGTGGCTAGGAGATGTTAACTCTTCCACCTAGTATGCAGGAGGATGATGGTTCCATCCGGACTCTGACGATGCCTGCTGTTCTATATTTGTAGTTTCCCGTGTTGGATTTTTCTCCCAGTTCACGTTTATAATCAACGTCACGCATTATTTGACTCCTGCTATAAATTTCCACGTGATAATATTAGCCTCTTCGTTGAGCTAACATTTGTGGTAGCCAGATTTCTTCTGAAAAAGAGCTACACAGCTCAGTGGGGCCTTAACCTGGTAAAATAAAAATTAGTTTAGTATTTTTCGTTATCTATGATTGTTTTGCTTATAACTGTGAAGTAATGTGTTCAACTAAAAGTGAGATTTATCTTACATTATTTAGAGTGACATGGCTATGGTACAGTCTAGCAAGGCAATTATTGGCACTCGCCAACAATCATGAGAGGGAATATTTTTCATGGCATATTTTGTGTACCGACGTGACTTTACCGAAAGAACCAAAGAGTATAGATTCCTGCAGTCACGAAAGCTTAAAATCAATATTGGTCTATGAACGTGCAGTGTTTGTGTGCATTGTGTTTGTTATTGTAACGTTCTGACCCTGACTGGACATCTGGTGAGATGTTAACTACCTCGCCTTGTATATAGGAGATCGTGGGTTTATTCCTGATCCTGACGACGCCTGCTGCTGTATATTTGGAGTTTGTGTGTCTCTCTCTCTCCATGATGGTTGCGTGGATTTTTTTTCCGGGTCCTCCGTTTTTAATAAATAGTAGTTTTATCTGTGAAAAACAGCTGTAGAGCTCATCAGATTCCTTCTGAATTATTAATATTGTAAATCTAGTCAGGTTATTGACAAGTCCTTTGTAATAGCCAGATGTTGCTGATACATACAGCTAACGTGCGTTGTCTTATGCGGTACTGTACATTAATAAAATGTGATCACTTTCTATAACCGGGTGCTCGTTATATATCATCTCACACAATACAACACAAAGACCCCCCCCCCCCCCCCCGTGTAGCCCGTAAACGTCAACAACACGGAACTTAACGTGAACTTTAAGTACACATCGGAAGGCTACACCGTGTACTTGTCTACCGCGTTGCCACGCTGCTACGTGTGCGGTGGCTTCAGCCATGCCCGTGCAAATTGCACGGGAAAACCTAAAGGAAAAAACTCGCAGCCTGCAACAAACGTCACGCAGCAGCAGCAACAGCGCCAACAGCAGCAGCCGCAGCCATGCAGCCTCAGCAGCAGCCGCAGCAACCGCAGCAGCAGCCAGCACTGCACGAGTGCCAGCTGTTGCAGCAGCAGGATGCTGACTCGGCGGCCGGTCGCGCAAAGCCGCCCACCGACGACGAGGATGGCGAGGGCTTCACCCTCGTCACCTCACGCAAGCACAGGGTAAAGCCCGGCCACGGCGGAGGAGGCCACGCGACCCCTAACCTTACGCGCACGGCCACCGCCGATCACGAGCCCGATCCAAAAGTCGCAGAGCAGGACGAGCAATGCCCCCCCGCGAGCGCCATCCCAGACGGCGTTGTGGGGGGTAAATATGAAGACATGCTCGATGGCGACTCGCCTGAGGACAGCACGGTGGGACAAGTGCCGGAAACATCCTCGCTGACACCGCCGCACGCTGCCTCAGCATCCTCAGGGCAAGAGGAATCACCAGCCGGTGCGGCGCCTGATTGGCGCCAACTGCAGGAAGGCGACGAAGGCCAGCTCACCTCACCTGAAGGGAGAGCAAAAGAACCTCCACTACCAGAGGGCAGCCACATTCTTCACCATGGGGCGCTGCCATCAACAACGGAATACGAGATTTCTGCTGAGTCACAGTTTGACGAGCTCGAGGACTTGGATGACGAGGTGTCGGAGACTGAAAGAGAGGACAACATGAGTGACTCAGCTACTCACAAGTCAACAGCGAGTGCGATTACTCACCTGGGGACATCCACAGCTTCCTCGGGAAAACTTTCAGAAAGCATCAAGTTAGGGTCAGGGCCATTTTCCCTGACCTCACCACTTTCCTCAAAGTGTCCCAACAAATCTGCTGCAACAGCGACAGGTTTGGTTTCTCGACTCAGGAATACTACCTCCTAAAAGCGTTCATGCGCAAGGCGTAGAAGGAGCTTACTTACGTAACCCAGCCACCGGCAACTACCGTTAACACTGCCACCACCACACATCTACATGATGGCTTCAGCTATTAAGGTTGCTAGTATGAACTGTAATAGCGCTCGCAGTGACAAGAGGTGGGACCAGATCTGCCGCTTTGTCAGGGAACACAAAGCAGATGTGACTCTCCTCCAGGAAACTCACCTCGACGCCACCTGGAGGCCCAACGGCAGCCTTTTCTAGGCGGCCGGGCCTTCAGCCATGCCGAGGACAACCTCGCCGGCGAGGCAATTGTGCTCAGTTTGCGGTTTGCACCAGAGAATGTCTCCTTCAAAGAAATCGTCAAAGGTTACTTGATTTTTGTTGAATTCGTCCTGAATAAATCCAGCCTCAGGTCTTTTAACGTTTACGCGCCGAGCAAGGCCCCCGAGAGGAAGCTCTTCTTCGGCGCGCTGCGGGATGCACTCACGACAGACGACATGGACGACGTGCTCACCGTCGTGGGGGGAGACTTTAACCGCATCCTCGAGCCAGCTCTCAACCGTAACACTGCCGAACCTCACCCTGAATCCGCACGGCCATTAGCCGACCTCGTGCGGAGACTGGATCTGCATGACGTGCGGTGACTACAGCATCCAGCCCAGTGGCAGTATTCTTGGTGCCGCTACTGCTCTCAAGGCAGGATAAGTCTTGCCAGGCTCGACCAAATGTATGTCAACATCAGCAGCATTAACCTGCTCATGGACAGTAAAATCGTACCCTCCGGTTTTTCCGATCACCACCTGGTTTCTGTGCTGCTGTGAATTCCCAGAGCGGAGCAGCACAGCACCTACTGGAGACTCAACGTACAGCTGCTTGATGACACTGACTTCAGAAAAACCTTCAACACCTTTTGGGCTCAGTGGCTGCCTGCCAAAGGAAGCTTCAGCTCCCACCAGATATGGTGGGACAACACAAAAGCGCAGGTCAGGGCTCTCTATCAGCAGTTCATGAGCCAGCACGCCGCCGCCAAGAACGAGGTGGCGCGCCAACTGCAGAACGAGCTGCTAGCACTAGAGGCAGAGCTGAGCTCATCCCATGGCACACAGCAGGGTGAGACCGCTACTGGAGAAACAGTGGCTTTTCAGGTCCATCACGGACGAGCAGGCACATAGTGCTTTTGTGTGCTAAAAGATGCAGCACCTGTCGCAGCTGCACTCTCCCTCTAAGTTTTTCTTCCGCTTAAGCAAAGCACCGGCCAACACCACAAACATTTCCAGTTTGCGAACCACAGATGGACAAACAGCAACATCTGAGAGCGAGACCGCCAAGCACGCCAGGGATTTCGACTCGCAACTTTACGCCGCCGAAACCATACACGACGAGGCTGTCCAGGAGCTACTGGACGGGGGCCCCACCTTCGAAGTCCCCAAGCGGGATCGTCTGGACAGCCCCGTCAGCCTGCAGGAGCTCCACACCACTGTGAAAGGGCTCTCAGCTGGTAAAGCCCCGGGGATTGACGGCCTGCCGGTTGAGTTTCATGTGGCCTTCTGGGATGAGCTTGGCTCTTCACTACTACAATTGTTGACAGAGAGCCTGCAGAAGGGTGCACTCTCACAGAGCTGCAGGAGAGTGGTGGTCTCCCTGGTACCCAAGAAGGGGGACCTGCGCCTCGTCGAGAATTGGCGACCCGTGTCCCTCTTGTTGCGCTGACTACAAAATCTTCTCCAAGGTGCTGGCAAACCATCTCAAGACAGTGCTGGGTCAGCTGATCCTGCCGGAACAGACGTATTGCATCCCCGGACAGTGCATATACGACAACATCGATACAGTTAGAGACATAATCTCCCTTGCAGAAGCGCACAACATGGACTAAAGCCTCTTCTTCTTGGATCAGGAGAAGGCCTTTGACCCGAGTGCTTAGACAAACTCCTAACGTCGCTCAGCTTCGGCCAGGCCTTCATCTCGCACGTCAGGCTCCTGTACACGGGCACATCCGGCCTCTTGAAGATAAACCAGCGGCTCGGTGCCCCTTTCTCTGTGACGAGGGGGGTCAGACAGGGATGCCCCCTCTCAGGGCTGCTGTACATCCTGTCCATTGAGCCACTGCTATGCCACCTGAGACGAAATCTGTCTGGCCTCAAAGTCCCGGGACCTGAGAACGCGGTCGTCAAGCTCTCGGCTTACGTAGACGACATATGCTTCTTGCTCAACGATGCGCATGACTTCTCCGCGCTCTGCCAAGTGCGAGGCCCTGTGTTTGGGGTCGCGAGGCGGCGTTCACTCTGTGCTCCTCCTAGGACGAGTTAGTTGGGGGGACGACGGAGTCAAGTACCTGGGGGTTTACCTGGGGAAACCACACGTCGCTGTGAACAACTGGACCGAGCTGGCCGGCACAATCAAGGCTAAATTACTGACATGGGCATGCCTCGCTC